CCCCAAAACCCCAAAACCCCAAAACCCCAAAACCCCAGATTTGTATATACAAGTTGAGGGATAAATAAAATAGGGAAATATGAAGAATAAAGTGGATAGGATCAATCCAGAGATCTTTGATGAACCTCCTCTTCAGTTTAATCAGTCGGATGATTATGGATGGACAGCTATAGCAAGGTCTATTGTGCAAATGGATGGAGATATTCAGAAATATGTAAGACAGATGAGGAAGAAGAAGACAGCGGTAAGGATTATGAGGTTTGAGGGTTTAATGTGGCTCTGAGTTTTTGAGGGTTTTCTGAGAGGTGAAAAATTTTATGTTTGAGCTAAGTTTTGGTCAGAGTGGTTAGGTTGATGAATATAAGCTATTAGAGGAATTCTGGGACATGATTTGGTGATTCTATTTTGGATTTAGGAAGAGAATTTCAAAAATTTACCGTTTATGTTGACAACCAAGAGGAAAAGATTGCAAAAAGGGAAGGAAAAGATTCATAATTTTGGCCGTAAAAACATGATCAAGTTTGCTGACCAGAATACAATCAAATTTGAAGTCGCCCGAAGAAGTAAGGCATAATTGATCTAAAATAAAATAAATTTCTAACTTCCTTAGAAACCTCTTCCTTCAAAAGTGTGCCGAGAAATATACCGAAAAATAAGGAGAAGCCTCAAAGTATTATCAAAAACAGTGGAGATTTATGTAAAAGCACAATCCCAATTACCAAACCTCTAGATCAGTATTGTACATCTCTTATTCTAGATTTCCTCACTCCAAATAAAATTATCCAGATGATCAAAGAAAGAATGAAAGAAGTAATGAAGAGGAAGAAAGATCAAAAGTCCTCACCTGAAAGAGCCAAAGAGGAACTGATAGTATTTTCTTCTATAAACCTTTAGAAAACACTTAAAAAGTCTTATACCAAAACGAAGTACCAAAAGTTAGAGACATTCCTGAACTCTCCGGAGAAAGCAGACTACGATCACAAGATTTCTCTATTAAGAGTGTCTGAAGAAGACCCTCTGAGTTTGTCCAGCAAAAATCATGCTAACACATTAAGCGATACCAAAAGGAAACGAGTCAAGATGAAGTCCTACTCCATCATGAATGGAGAAAGGGCACACTATAACGAAAGTCTTCTTTTAAGAAAAAGAAGTCTCCAGAGGAAGAAGCAACATTCGCGGCTGTCCCAGATGAGAAGTAACGTCATTGCAGTCTCTTACCACGGAAGTGAGCTCTTCCCTCTTCCAGATCAGAGATCTGGAAGAGGGAATGGCACTTCAGGGTCAAAGAGACATACATCTGAGGACAACTTCATCAGGAGGAACAGTATGTACGGTTGTCGTATATATAGAAACCGACTTTACCTTCAACGATAATTATGACCCAATCGAAAGTAAACTAATTTTTAAATTTTCATAGATAGTGATGAAGAAATTAATGAGGAGAGGAAGCTCATGACGAACCCTTATCTACACAAAACAACTATAAAATCTTGGTATCCCTCTGGATCAAAAGGAAGAATTTCTGAAAGGAAACAGGAATTTGAAGTGCCTGTAAAGAACAGAACCATCGACTACACTGTAGGAGTAAGCAATGTAGCCTAACATCTCTAGGTTGGAAAGAAGAGTCCCAGAATGAAGTTCAAAAAGCCAATCCTAAGAAAAAGGAGCAAGTACATCTACAGATTAATGTAACCTCTTTCTAAAAGAAATTGCCAGCCATTTTCAATAATTGAAAATAATAATGGGGTTTTGGGGTTTTGGGGTTTTGGGG